TTTGACTAGATATAGGAATTCTCCATGAACTTCATCAAGGGGGTTCCTAAATCTAAGTGTTTCAATTTGATCTTAGTCATGATCAAATGGCTTAACATATCTTCTCACCCCTCATATGTCCTTTCATGGTTTCAAAGGTTGGAAGCATCTTCATTTGTGATGCAATGTGGTTACAAGATTTTCAATGTCACTTCTTTTTGATCAAGATCAAATCTGTATGAGTTTATTTTGGCATGAATCATTCAAGCTACAAGGGAACAATAATATGTTGTACTATTCCTATAATTCACAAACTAATGGTCAAATGAAAATAGTAAATTTGTGGTTGAAAACATGCATTTGTTCAATCACAAAGGAGCACTTGTGATAATAGACCAAGTTATTAACCTAGATATAATTTTAGTACAACACCAAATTCTATGGCTACAATTTGCATAGTCCAACAAGGTGGACCAACTTCTTCAAGCTTAAGACAACTCTCTCAATCAGCTCAAGCATCACTTAGAGCAGGCCCAAGCTTAGATAAAGACTTAAATTGGAAGTGTCTCAATGTCAAATTCATCAAAAGATACATTGTCTACTCATGAATTTGCCCATTTTGGCTAAAGTTAGGGACTAGTGATGTTATGAGAAGCTAGATCTATGATTCTTTGGTCCATTCAAGATTTTGGAGAGAAATACTATGATAGCATACCATTTGTAGCTTTCAATTGCCACCAATATACATATGGTGTTCTATGTTTCATAGTTGAAATGGTGAAAAGGGGAACCCTCCTACCCCCCTGATAAGTCTTCATTATCGTGAGTTAATAATTAATAAATAATATAGTTTTAGTGTTAACTCATGATAAATAGATTTATATTTGTGTTAAAATGTGAAAAGTAGTTTTCAATTGATTAACATAAAATTTTTGGATAATTATGTGATTTTTTACGAATTTCTATAATTTTTATAATCTTACTTTTGAGATAAATGAAGAAAAAAATAAAAATAAAAATATAGCAAAATGGGGGGTACCTGCCGACCAGCTAAGCCTACAAGCAAGTCGGAAGTGCAGTTAGGGAGGAGCCGCGAGCAGGGGCCCGAACGACTAGAACCGATAGGGGCACATGTGTGTCACTCCTCTTCCACATCACTAGTGGTCAACTAGCTATGGGGCAAAGAGTAGTTGTACATGTAGGAGAAAGATACTTGATTGAAAATATAATATTATTACATATTCACCCGAAACTTCGACGCACAAGCAATGTGGAACTAAACTTGTGTCACACTTTCCCTAAAAAGGGTTCAATGATTTTAATATTTAAAATATCTCTTATTTCTAATAGAGATATATCATGATGACGTTATGTGGTAAAGACATTAAAATACTTATGTCAATCTCTCTCATGTAGGTGAACTAGCGTGGGTTTGAATCTTCCAGAGCTAAAACTCATATTTTTTATTTGATTATCATAGCTTTTCTACATATCACCAGTGAAGGATTAAGTCGTCAAAATCATTAAAATATTAGTGAAAATCTCATCAACATGATTCGCAGAGCATTGTTACTAAAATTGTTGAACGATTTGTGATAAAAAGATCGTGAATCTATTGAATAAAGTATCTCTAATTGATTGACAAATAAGTTATCGTCAGGAAGAAGACAATCTCTCAGGAGATGAGTCGTCACCTCTTGATAGCATACCGAATATGATGAAGAGTCTCTTCTTATTATGTAGACTTGAGGATGAAGCTCCTTGACACATGTCCCACCTCCATCCAACTTCTCTCCGTCAAGTGATAGTTGCCAGAGAACCACAAAGTCGTAATTTTTTCATTTCACTAAGTGATAGCCACCGGAGATGATTCGATGACCTATTTCATTGATCTCTAAACTTTGCAAAGGGATCTAAAGATTGCTCACGTCGTCTTTGTCCAAAGAGAGCCTTCAAAGCCATAGACACTACACGACAATCTTCTCAAACATTTAAGATTTCAGTACATTGTCAAGACATTACCGTTGTGACATCGAAACTATATTTTCCTACTTTTAACTTAATTTTTACTTCATTTAGTGATAATTTGTGTGATTTAAATTTACCAAAATATACTTTATTCAATTACGATTCTTCTAACTTTTACAAATCTTAATTTGATCAATTAAATCATCTGTAATCACTTACATAAGAATCGTCAAATAGAATTCTATTTTTGCCCAATTCGCATTCACCGGGTGCTGACATCATCTTGACATCTGCACCCTTATTTCCCTTTTTTCGTGAATTTCAAATATTTTTATTTTTATTTTATAATATAAAAAATTTATAGAAAATAATATTCTTTGAAAAAAATCGAAATAATTACCTGATATTATATTATATCTCAGTGGTTGACCTAAAAAATTACTACTATTTTATAAGTTTTATTAAATTATAATTAATATATTTATTCAAAAATACTTTTAAATATCTGAAAATTTATATTTTCTAGTTTTATAAATTTTAAATTTACATGATTTATTATATAACGACTAAGTCACGTCACCACCCCCCCCTTGACCTCTCATCCTTATGACAACCTCAATTGATCAGTGATGCTATCCAAAATCTTGACAGTCCAACACCACTTGCACAATAGTGAAGTCTTACTCTACTAGAAGGATCTCCCACATTCAAAGGCCACCTAAGAACATGTCTTAAGCATTCTCACCTCATTTTCATATTTTCACATTATGGACAAGGAAAAGTATTTAGGGGGGAGAGTATTGATGAAATACTCACCTTCTTAGTATTGCCACAATGGAAGAAGTCTTGACCTCCATGTGGACATTTTGACTATTAACAATGATCATACTAGAAGACAAAGTAAGAATAACCATCAAAAGGTGAGGTGAATGTCTAGACCCAGCAACAGCCATGGAGAATAATATGAGAATCAACCTAGCTCGATCAATAGGAAAGATAATAGTTAACTTGGAGATTGACCATTTTGAATCAGTTTGTACCTTTTTATTCTAATTCAATTCTCTCTCTCTCTCTCTCTCTCTCTCTCTCTCTCTCTCTCTCCCACTTTATCTATTTAGCCTTCTTCATTATATCTTCAATGTGTTCCCCCATCATTTAGTGAGCTTATCATTTGTCTACAACACTCATGTACTCATAATGTTCCATGGCTCTCTCCCTCTCTCCTTCTAACCAATGGAGCTTTCTCTTATCAGCTATTGTGCCCTAACATTTGTGCTATGTCATATCATCTCATCCATTATCTCCCATGAAGAGAAGGAGAAAGAGAACTTATCATTACTCTCAAATAGTATGAAGGAGCTTATATATAGGCAGCAAAATTCCAAGGAGGAGAGACTCATCAAACACTCTTGTTCTACTATAGTTGTGCTCATTCAAGAAAAAGAGATAAGGCTTACATTCTATTCAAATCTTCATCATACCCTAGTTGTCCTGTAGATATGGTCACATGCACCACATCATGTCAATTTCTTGTCCCCTTTCTCTTTGGGAAAATCATAGGGAAAAGAAGGAAAATTAATAATGATACTCGAATAAATGCAAAAAACAGAATTGTTAGAAAAAAATATGAATCTAAAGTTGGGGCACATCAGCAACTGCTACTGGAGTTCCCTTAGAAAGTGGCCACTTCGTTCTCTATTAGGAGTGGGCATGGAAGAATGCAACATAAGATGGGAGGATCCATGATCATCTCTCTTGATGCAAAATGTGACACATCAAGCACATCTTTGATACTTTGTAACAATTCTCTTTTTTTTGCAGCAATGTCTCCCGTAAAATAATGGCATATTATAATATACTTTTTTTAGCCATGAGATACTTGACTTTGACTTATTCAACAGGTTGCCTAAAGTTTGAAATAAAATTGGTGAGAAACATAATTTTTAAATGAGAATGTGCTAGAAACATCAGCCCTATGACAACTTCAAAAAAGTTTCTTTTGCTTCACTGAATTCTACTATTTGTAGAAAGCTTCTCGTTGTGACTCATCAGTGTAGAATAAACTCTGGATTTCATCTATATAGAAATGCAATATTTCTATAATGTAAATCAATAAGACTTTAAAAAGAAGCTAAAATCAAAGAGATTTTAGATGCCGTAAGATTGATCTGAAAAGTTTTGAAAAAGATTACACTAATATGTTTGCTGCTGTAAATGAGATACAAAATAGGGCGAGGAAGAATGTAGAAGAATAGATATCGATGTGTACCTAGAACACGCTTTTAAACTTAGTATTCAGAAAGTAGACGTCCAAAAGTCTATTGAAACACCACGACTTTTGCTGTGACCATTAGTTACGATTGAACGTTGCTAGTTAGATAACTGACACCACCTGCTTAATGACACGAGTTGAGGACAACAAACTCATAACGGGGCATAATCTGGTTTGCGCCAGATTTCATCGGATGGGGCCATTCCGGTAAATGGGTAAGAAGAGGTGTTCCGCCCGGTGGAGCAGAGCTGGCGAGCGAGAACTAACAACGCTCTCTCTCTCTCTCTCTCTCTCTCTCTCTGTCACGAACCTAAATTGACAGGTACGGATTGTATCCCCCGCTTTGCTTTCAGGTCTGTGTGACGCGCTTCTTCTCCCTCTTGCCAGACAACGAGCAGGGCATCACCGGACCGGCCTTTCCCGGACCCGGCTAAGAGGATCCGTCCATTACGCTTTCCCGGACCTTGCCTTAATTGACAGAGCTTTGAGGAAGATTTTTCAGGGGGCGGAGGTCGAGTAAGGGATCTTCTTCGACTGCTTAAACCCTCTCCCTTCCACTGCCCTTTTCCTCCTCCCGCCGCTGTCTTCGATCCTTGGTGTGAACCTGTGAATACCCCCTGCTCTTCGTTTTAACGACCACTTGCACGAAGAGGATAGCGTTTCGTTGCTCTGTTCTATTTCTTCGCTGCCCACATTCTACCTCGTTACCTCCCTCCTAAGGACTCATCTCTTAATGTCCGAAAGCCTATTGCCAGGAACTAGCCTTCTATCCTCCAAAATGATGCTCTTCTTCTTCCCAAATCCGCCCCCTCCCATTCCATTGTCCCCTTTTTTATCTCGTTATTCTTCTTCTTCTTCTTCCTCCACATCCTTTTGCCTTCATGACAGCTCCTACTCTTTCTCCAAAGTCGCTTTTGGCTTCCCTCGGGGAAGCACTGATAAAACGCCATTTCTCGGCGCTGGTTTGACCTTTACGCACGATAGAACGCTGGGTTTTGTCGGGCAGAGGGAAAGGCCATTTTATCGGCCTCTTCATCCCGTGACAGCCGTCGTCAAGAGGAGGAAGGAGCTTCCGTTCGACAGCGTCATCCAACGCGACAAGAAACTGAAGCTGGTCCTGAAGATCAGGAAGATCCTGGTGAGCCAGCCGGATAGGATTATGAATCTGAGGGATCTGGGCAGGTACCGAAAGGAACTGGGTCTCACTCGGAAGCGCCGTTTCATCGCTCTCTTAAAGCGTTTCCCTGGGGTCTTCGAAATTATAGAGGAAGGTGTTTACTCCCTTAGGTTCAAGCTGTCCCCTCAGGCAGAAAGAATTTACTTGGAGGAATTGAAGCTGCGGAATGAGATGGAGGATGCGCTGGTCATAAAGCTGAGGAAGTTGCTGATGATGTCATTGCAGAAACGAATTCTATTGGAAAAGATCGCCCATTTGATGACCGACCTTGGCCTTCCACCAGATTTCAGGTCCACCATCTGTGGAAGGTATCCTCAGTACTTCATGGTGGTGCCCACTGACCGGGGCCCTGCTCTGGAGCTGACACACTGGGATCCGGAATTAGCAGTGTCTGCAGTTGAGGCTTCAGAGGCGGAGACTAGACTGAAAGAGATCCAGGAGAGGGATCTTATAATCGAGAGGCCTCTGAAGTTTAGACGAGTGAAGTTACCAAAGGGTTTGAACCTATCGAAGGGTGAGATGAGGAGGATTTCTCAGTTTAGGGATATGCCTTACATATCACCGTACTCTGATTTCTCAGAATTGCGACCTGGTACTCCTGAGAAGGAGAAACATGCTTGTGGAGTTATTCATGAGATCTTGAGTCTCACGGTGGAGAAGAAAACCTTGGTAGATCACCTCACGCATTTCAGGGAGGAGTTTAAGTTCTCCCAACAACTGAGAGGAATGCTAATCAGGCATCCAGATATGTTCTATGTCTCACTGAAGGGCGACAGGGATTCAGTTTTTCTCAGGGATGCTTATCGGGATTCTCAATTGATTGAGAAGGATAAATTGTCTCTCATAAAGGAGAAGATGAGGGGCCTTGTTGCTGTCCCCAGATTTTCTGGAATGCGCACCATGAAAACTGATGATGGTGATGCAGAAAGCATGGGTGACAAAAGATCTGGTGCGGATTTTGAAGATGACTGGTCTGATGCTGAGGGTTTACTGGATGAGGGGTTAAGAGATGAGTTTGATGGTGACACTGACTATGAAGATGAAGATGCTGACCCTCAAGACTTTTGGAGTGATGACGATGATGATGTGCCCTCATATTTAAATAGTGACGCAACTTCTTCTGGGCAAAAGACAACTGCAAAGCCTGTGTATAACTCATCTGGAAAAGAAGAGAAAGTTCTTCTTCCGGTGTACCCTGATGGTAGACCAAGAGAGCAGTGGTGAAAATAGTCTCATATCACTAGGTGGAGATTCAGAAGATAAAAATCACCGCCTTCTGGTGAATGTACTAAGTTCTTTTCGATTTGATTTCAGATGTATTTCATGATGTCACTGCTTGTTAGCGTGCATAATGTACCCATCGTTCTTTGCTGTTTCCATACATTTTCAGTTTTCACTAAGTTGGAGATCATATTCCTAACTTTTGCATAACTTACTGTACACTTTCTCCAGTCTCATTTGATCAAACTGTCGTTTATATAACTATTCTCTAGCCCCTACATTTTATAATGTCAGAATGCAATCCACTTTTGTGAATTATGATCTCTTTCTTGAGTGTTTGCTCCTTACACATTGAAGTGGAGTAAATACGGCTTGGGGTCCATCCATAGCAATACAGAGTGTTTGCTAGGATTTTCTTCAATAAGCAAGCAGAATTGCTGATCAGTATGATCTATGCATTCTTTTGTCTTAATGTTGAAGTTTCTTCTTTGAATGGCTCCTATTTAGAATCCTAGTGCCAATGATAATGATAGTGAGGAGATGCTCACAAAAATATGCAATGATCTCCTTGATTCATTTCATATTAGTGACTGGTGTAATGTTTTATTCTAATCAATTCTTTTATACTTATTTTGAGTTGAAGTAATTGAAATCGAAACATTCCTCACTTAATCTTTATTTTGGCACTCACCCAACAGTAATATTTTCACTTCCTTTTCTTCATTACTATTGCCTGCAGTTTAACTTTGTCTGTTCTCACTCTTAATTCTATATATTTTCGTGCACTTGTTTACAGAATGAAGATATTGACCAGATGGTCACAATTTTTCTTCAGCTTTGTATAATATATGCATAAAAATGGTCCCTTTGACTTTTTTAGTCAAAGGGTAGGTGGACTCCCCTTTAACTTACCCCTTCTTCTGTGGTCGGCAAATCCTGTTGAAGGTGACCACTGGTAGGTCGTGTGGCCTGGTTAGGCTTGTCTGGTTTCGCCTTGGGCTTTACATTGTTTCACCTGAGACTCCACTGAGTTAGATCAATACATGGCGACCAAATGCACTCTCCGCCTGGACTGTTGTCAATACTTATGGCCTGAAAATAGGTCTGCTTTGGTGTGTTCTTCGTGGAGTGGTCACCTCCCCCATTTCCCATTCCATTATTTTCTCTGTTTGGGGGGCATATCGTGTTCACTGTATTGTCTTATTCATACCTTATCTGTGTTCTCATGTGGCTAGCAGGGTAGGAGAATTGCACATGGACAGTTGTGTGGAGCAACAGGGGTAACGAAGATAATAATACTTTGGCTATCCTTGATTCTTCTGGCATTGGGGACAGTCATGAGATTCACAATGACAGTGAACACGTCTACAGTACTGTAATGTTTTTCATTCGCTTATTCTATCTACTCCCCCCATTCACTTTGTGATCATATAAATTACCCCCACTAACATGGCTCACGTTCTTGGAAAATCCTTGTTTTCACCTTGTCTCACTCACCTCCTAGCCCTCGACTGGTCCCACCTGGTGACTACTATTTCTTTTACTTCCTAGAATCGTTTGTGTAGTTTCTATGGCTAGGAAAGAATCGTGGATTATGAATTTATTTTTTTCCTTTACACTAAAAAATTCAGTAACCATGGAGACACTGAAGTTTTTGGTATATATCAACCTTTGATTTTCAACTTGTACCCAATTTGTTATAACAGATATGCTACTCAAACAGGAACATATCCAATGCAGTTTTCCATATCTTCAGGGATGGTACATCTTTGGAGGAGATCATATCAAGTGATCAGCTTCTTGTTGAGCTAGAAAACGTTACTTGCACATTTTCCCCCAATTCTCGCCATCTGTATTCCTTAGGACTTGACTTATCATTTCCTTTCTGTTCCCTGATGGTATACAGCATTATCCGAGATGATGTTTAGTGGATCAGTCGAAATCTGAATCTACCTGCGGTGGAATACATGAACTTGTTGTGGTTAAAGATGCAATACGATACACCTTTATTTTCTGTACTCTCTGGATGGTCTTTATCAACTCATAAAGTTTCATTTCCTTGTTTCCTTATTTCCTCACCTCTGTTTTTTTATTTTTGAGAATAATGTGAACTGCTGGACGGATTATCATACTATTTTATCCTATTTTCTTTTTCCTCGAGGATCATTTTTTCCTTTCTTGTCTCTTTTTGTGTTCTTCGTTTTGTAATTTGTCCTTTCTATACTTGTAGTTTTAGTTTTACAGTTTCTTCCTCTATTTCTGTTATATGTTGTCCAGGAAAACTTGTCTATATCTTTATTTGACAACCTAGTGCATTACTTATTGATTAAGAGTATTCCTTTTTTAATATGAAAAGATGTAGAGGTCGAGGGATTATATTCTTTCCCTTGAAACGGCTATTTTGGCTGGTTTGGTCCTGTCGTGAATTAGGTTACCCTGGTGAATTTAGGGATCTAGTCTGATTTAGGGGTTAAGTCTATGAAGTTTCGACATCAGTTGGGATCCCATTATTGAGGAAGCTATCATCTGTTGTTCTACATTGCTGATGTGATTAGATGTTAAGCTGGGTGCAAAACACTAGTTGTGGATCAACGACAAGATCAATGGAATGAGGCCCTCTCATCATGTTAAAATATATCAAAGGAAGAGGTACTTGTGGGAACTTATCTGGAGAATACATTGGGTAAAATGTTCTGTGAGAGGAGTGCAGGGAAGATAATTATTGGGGTTATTAATTCATGATGGTTCACATTATCGTCCATGTTTCCTTCCATACAAATACCGTTGGTTTCATTGTTTCTTGTTTTAGACAACTGGTAGTTTGCGTGGCACTCCTAAATGACATACTTCCCATCCTTGCCAACAAAGTTTTTTCATAGTCCTTAACCTGTTTTTGAAAGTTTAGTCTTTAAGGTCATTGGATATAATCACTGGTTGATGGGGAGGGCTTGATGATTCTGATGACATCATTATTAGGAAGGCCGAACGTCTGTTGGTAGTTGTACTTGTTTTGTAGAATAATGTGACCCTTGCTGTACCCTGGAAATATCTCTTTTTCCATGGATTTTGCTTTTTAACGAATGAGGTTGCTCAAGCAGCTAGTGCACTAGATTTCCAAATAACGCAAGTTACCATTTTTTTTTATTCTCTTTTATTATGGTTTTTAATTATTTTGATCAAGGTTTTTTCTCATTACCAGTGAGTTACTGCATCTTTATTGTTTGAAGTAAAAAATCACCCATGATATACTTGATGATTTGTTTATCATTGAGCTTTGCCTTTAACCGTTACATTTACTTCTTAACTGTTACATTGAGATGAGAAAATGTCATTTCTAATGCACAATGAATGGCATAATTTCAAGGGTGATGATACTCTTCGACATCATTATACAGCATTAGATGAATGTAATTTTTGCTTTTTTGATTTTTATTTTCATGAAGATTAAAGCATTAAATGAGTTTTTCTCAGAGAATCATTGCTGAGCCTGATTCCGGTGCTTCACTTGCATATATATATTTATATTCTAAAATTTTATGTGTTGTTTCTAAAATCGTGAGGTTTTTTCTGAGATCATTATACAGCATTAATGTTTTGTGATTTTTCTTTATGACATTCTACTGTAGTATTAGGGTTGTCAACTGGGCCAGGGCTTGTGAAGACAAGGTAGGACATTTTGGTTTTTCTGCTGAGTCTACTGAGCTTGCCTCTAGAAGATTAAAGAGTCTTTAGACTTTTAACCAATGTTTGTGCTATGTAACCTTTTCTGTTTGTTATGACAATTGGAAACTTATAAAATTATAAAAAATTATGAAGGTGAAGTGTATAATGAACATTCTCTCCAAATCTCATAATAATAAGAAAAATAGCCAAAACATGAAATTATGGGAAGAAGATACTTCCTAAACCAAATTTGTTAATATTTTATTACATCTTTTGCATTATGAGTATTTTATTTTACATTGCAGTGGAATAAGTTGACTATACCCAACATAGTCATAGTCCTGTGTTAGTGTACTTCTATACTCAACATCTAGTTCTATGCGTATAGAAGATTAGTGAAAAAAAAAAATTCCTGTTTTTAATCTTCTGATCTGCTGTGTATTGTATTGTTTCTTGGATCACATTGGACAAAACCTTCAATCAAAACCAAAGCCAGCTTTGTTGCAGAATCTTTATTTTGATAGATTGAGTGTATGTATATGTGTGTATGTATCATCCTCCCTTAAGCTATTCACACTCTTCTTTTATCAATATTTATGGAATATAGTCTGATGAGGTTTGGGTAAAACTCTAAAGAGAGGTATAGTCACTCTATAATTTTTATGGCAAGAGATATGCTATGTATCATTAGTTTTTGTAAGGTTCATTATGATGATACAAACTACATGGGAATGGATGAGTAAGGCGTGAAGTGGAGGGTTCAAAATTGTGTGGTTCTTTGTGAAAGGTAGAAAGTCTGTCGGGCATAATTATATGTTTTAGGGTAACATTTTTTTTTCCATTTTGATTGTGGTAATCAATGCATTTTAAAGTATTAATTACACGTCATTAAAACAAACTCTATTCCCAAATATTTATCTAAAGCTCCCTTTATCCTATATTGCATGTTTCATGCCCATTATTGAATCATATATTTTTATTTTGCTCCTCTTTATTAAAACTATAAGGATCTAGTTAGCTCATATCTGTATGAGCCTGTTTGTTCTTAGATGTTTCTCTTTTATAATTTCTTAGAAGAAAATCCAAATGTTTATTGGTCTGTACGGCTGTTGTTTCATACTTTGTGCTAACAGGGCATCTTTCGTGAATTGTGGTCTCATTTCTTTCCCTTTTTGGTCGACAGATAGTGGAGGTCATCTGTTGCAAATTAACTCATTTGCAGCTAGATTTGTTCAGCCATTTTCTTCAGTCTTAATATTTGGGCTGTTATACGCATACTTCTCATTGTTTTACAATATATTTCTCATGAAGGTTCATACAACGAGTCAGTTTTCACCATGATATGGTTTTTAGTGGTTTCTTATCAGGCATCTCTTCATTGGATATGTGCTCTAGGGTAAAAAAGCAATAACTAAAGAAATGAAACGGTCCAAAATTTTGGCAAACTGCTCTGAAGGAATTATGCAATCATCCGAAGGTAATCATATGAACTTTATTTTTCCTACATTTCTGTTTATGCTTGACTCTTCATTCATCACTGCTATGGCAGCATAATCTCCAAGAAGTTTACTTCTATGATGTCCACATTCAACTTATGAACTGATGCTTAAATACAACTTTTGTGACGTGCGGTTTTCTAATGAGTAGATGACAATCTTTTTGAAGAAAAAGGTCACAATGATTTTGGCTATTCCTATCTAATGATAACTCTTCATAATTTTTATGCTGTATTCTTGACAATGATGCCACTGTTTTCTTGAGATTTTTAATGTCAGATAACATGCTTAATGCTAGATCTGAAAATGCTTTGGACGTTTTAGATGATATACTTTCCTAAAAATCCTGAAGATTTTTTGAAGTTTTTGTACAAAATTTGAAACTTTAGAAAGAAAGTCACACACACGCGTACAACTCATTGTACACTATCAGACATTTATTTTGCAATTTGTTTAACTGTGACGCTATTGGTCTGTCTTCATGATGATAGTACATAGACACTAAATATTTTTTGTGCACCGGAATGTCACAACTGAAGGTAAAATCAATCTCATTATGTTCTATCATTTATATCCTTTAAAAACTTGCAAAATATGTGCATTTTTCTTATTTCTTTTGTTACATTTATATTTAGTGTCGTCATACTAAATATAAATTATTCGAAATTAATATATTTAATATATTTGTTTCAAATTATTCGAAAAATTAAAATTTATGTTCTGATTCTTCTAATGCTTATGATTATCCCTCCAGTTGGTGAAAATCAATTCCAACTGATTGAATGAAATAAATAGACTAAAAAGCATAACTGTCATGAGGAAGGTGACTACAGCAAGTCAAAGGTACTTTTGTTGTCGACTGGTGCTTAGGTACAATAAACTTCCTAGTAAAAAATAGGAATTTTTTTATGGTACATTGCTGATGAATCATGGAAAAATTGATAGGTAATTGAACTACAAGATTTAATGATTTTATGAAAGATTTTGTGTGTCATCCAACCGTCAGCTCAGTGTCCACTAGAAAGCATGCTTTTCTCTGCCTGCTTCTTAGATGAAGTTGTTCTAAATGTATTGCAGCTAATTTATGATACTTAAGAAGCAGGAGTCCTGGTGCTTCAGTGTTTGAGGATTGCCTTTGATTTTTCCCTCGTGATTTATTCTCAGGGAGGTAAGTTGGCCCGTGATATATTCTTTTAATCTGCCAGTCATGGTAGAAATAATGCTTCACGTCCATTTCTATCATTGTCCTACAGATCGGGCTCACGGACAGGGGTTATGGAATCTGGGTGGAATTGTCTGGTAAAATGCAAGTCTTAGCTTGGTCACTGGCCAATCTACGTCAGAAAACTGATGTTTGCATTGTTCTTGTGCCCAATTATACCCAAGTATATCTAGTCCCTTACAAGCTGATATAACCAATCAATGAGGGTGCCTATTCTCATATTTTATGTCACGTAATTGCTTCCCATAATTAATTGAGTGCATGTAATTGAAATGTCAAATATGTTGCACTAATTATGGTTTGTCTTTATCCTGAGATTCTGTAGAAATTCGTGCAGAGACACTTGATGATTTCGGTCCAACTGGTCGATATAACCATCCAAATTTTCTCATGTTTGGATCCAAATCGTTGAATCGGAGGGAGAAGGAACTCTGTGACTGTAGGTGATGGTTTTGGCTGAAATATTGCACTTCATACTCTAGCTTTAAGAGTCTAATGTGATCCCCGATTTGTCCCCTTGAATGTTAAAAGCAAGGTAGACTAATTAATGCTTAATGGGGGGGCATTCATATTTGTTCCGACCTTGTGCTATTTACTATTTTATAAAAGTCTTGCTGTACATAGTAACGCTCATGTGTCAATTTTATGGTCAGAATGTTAAAAGGGAATTGATAAAGGGGCATGGTATGTCTTAGCTTGGAGATAGTGACAACGTATTGGATGAAAGGGATGCATAACATCTAAGAAAACTGAATCAAGTCATATGAATGCTGCAGTTACGGCAATACACATTGACTGGTATTTGCATACTGTCAGACATTGGACCTGTTCGCTCAGTTGTGCCGTGAAAGAAGATATCCATTGCTGAGGCTTAATGGAAGTACATCCATTAGTAAATGGCAAAAGTCGGTCAATCGTTTTACTGTTCCATCTAAGGTTCGTATACTCTCCTCACCTACCCACCCGCAAAATGTCCCATGTAGCCAGAGCAACCTTTCAATTGACTGAGTTGGTTTTTGTTCTTTTCTGCAGGATGAGTTTGTTTTTCTTCTGAGCAGCAAGGCTGTTGGTTGTGGGCTCAATTTGATTGGTGGAAATCGCTTGGTGTTATCTTTTCCTGATTGGAACCCAATAAATATAAGCAGGTAGGTAATCACATTCAATGGTTCTGATCTATACAATTGTGAAATAAGACCTTCGTTCATGTAAGCTTTGACTTTAAACCGTCTGTACTGGCAATAAATAGGCTACTGCAAGTGTTTGGAGGGATGGACAGAAGAAGAGAGTTTTTATCTAAAGGTTCTTGAGTACTGGAACTATTGAGGAAAAGGTTTGAATCTGTTTTGTGCGCATGCTGGTGATAGTATTACTGCCTTCAATTTCTTTTAAAAACTTTCTTTTTAACTTCTCCAGTAGTGTTTTCCCATGACAGATCTTTGTCAGGAGTATCAGCGACAAATGTCAAAATAAGGCCTGCAGAAGGTTGTTCAGCAGGAGAATAGATCCAATCAGGCAACATACATCTTCTCACTTCCCAGTTGTTTTTCATTCGATCAATGTAGGGTGATTTCTTCACGTTTGTGCTTTCATATTGTTTATTTTCAAGGGACTTTCCTTTCAACAGAAGTCCTGCGGAATCTCTTCACCTTGCATGTGAACGTCAGGTTACTCTATGATAGCTATTGATCATTTGTGAATTTCTGAAAGGCAAAATATTTGCCTCTTAGCACCATTTGTCAGAGCCAGGCCCTCGCCAATTTCGTGAATATTGCATGTTGAAGTCTCTAGTCGTAAGCAATTAGCTTCTTCTGTACAGTTAAAGAATTTTGATGTGTTGCTAAGTGGATATTCCACGTGGTCAACCTGCTCACAAACTCATTCAAAATAGTGCGAAGTTAAAGTATGTCAGCATTCTTTGGAGGTTAAGCTTGCTGCTCCATTTCTGTACAGTCATAGGCAAACCAAATTTCGCATCTAATGTGTGTTCTGAAAAGGATAAGACTTCTTCAATCACGTAAATGAGCTGATAGATAGAAGGATAGAAAAAAAAAAACAAGAGTGGTAATGGGTAATGATAGGAAGGTCCTCATGTCATGGTGGTGGCCAAACAGATGTCTCTTCGGAAGTCTATAAGGCTGTCTCTTGCCAACTTATTGAAGGAATTTCATTCAAAACAACATCCGAGGTTAGTAAAAGTGAATAGCTTCCGAGTGTCTTAGTCTCGTCATTTCATTCATCTATGTTTAATAAAAATAAAAAAAAGTGAATAGCTTGAGATGTTTTGGCTTAAATCTTCCTGGATGATCCCAGGTTGGTTCTCTCGTGAAGATGCCCATGCACTTGGAGCTTTCATTTTATCGTAATTTCATGCAACGTTCAAGCTGCGTTTGGAAGCAGACAGTCTGCACTCACTCTAGCGGGAAGTGAATTTAATGGATCATATCCGACCAGCCATTTTATCTGGAAAAATTATCGGAATATCCTCTGACGTTGGTAATTATAAGCTTGAACGAGTGTCATATTCTGCTTGACAATTGAAATGCCGCTTATCTTGGAAGCTTTCGGGGAAGTATGTGCCAGAGGAGAGTCTATATTCATATTTCACATGTCCGGTTGCCAAAGTGGCACGCTGACCCACCCCATACTTTTCTTTTCCCAGAATTAAATTCTGTTCAAGCGGACGTTCTATGTGATTATGGATTCTGATGATTCATTACCTATAATCCTTCGCTAAACTCATTTCTTTTAATCTTTTAGGTCTGCAATCCATGAGAACATTGTGAACCGTACCCGATGTGATACTAATTCAGCAGCAGGGGACGGCAACCGAAAGAACCAGTCCTGTAGTCAGAGCTGATCGGAACGTACTGGAAGTAAATGACATTGGAAGATTGGCCGAAATCGCTGGCCGCTTACCTAGCTCAGCTGAAAGAATATGAGGGGCAGGTAAGTTGTAATCGGCAAGTTCTAATGCTTGTCCTGAGACCAGTAACCTCATGTGGTGTATTCGGGTATCCTCTTATATTTCTATGATCGATCTAAGATGCATGATTTTCTTTAGCTTGGAGCTTCACTTGAAGAGGATCTGGTAAGCTGGGGTCGTCATTCCGCTCCAGCCTCCGTCCCTGACTGCCTTCTTCAAGCTTCAGCTGGCAACTAGGTGCACTTCCTTGGCTTATTTCAGATGATTCTCTTTATGTTCTCACGCAACAATCTTTGCACCGGAAATTTAATCTGTGGGATCATGTGACCTTTTTCGGTCAAACGTTTGAACTTGAGTCGATTTAGAAGCGTGCCCACTTTCTTATCTCTCTCTCTCTCTCTCTCTCTCTCTCTCTCTCTCTCTCTCTCTCTCTCTCACTCACTCTCACTCTCACTCTCACTCTCTCTCTCTCACTCTCTCTCTCTCTCCCTCTCTTCTGGGGGAACAAGGAGATTATCGTCTGGAGGGGAAGAGTCAGATATAGAAGATGACGGCCGATGGCGGGGAGAAGGAGATTCGTTGTACCACTACTTTTGTACGCTTCCATGTCTTTTTCCTGGGCTTCTCCACCTGATTGCCTCCGTCTCCCATGATTATCATTCCTGCATAATCTCCGATCAAGGGTTTTTGATGCTGCTTAATCTCTCCTCCAAATTGATCGATCGGGTGAGAATTCATGCCACTTTTAAAATCAAGGATATTATTTTTGCAGCTTTTAGCTGATGGATTTGATTGAGCTTTTGACGAGCTCATAAAAGAAAAACTAGAGAGAGGTCCATCACTGGAAATAAATGTACATCGAGAGATCTTGATCAAGAAATTATCCTTTCCATTCATTATCATTAATGATTGTGAGTTGGTACATCAATGTTAACATGTGCAAGCAAATGGTCCACGCAGTGGCATATTACTTTATTTATTTTGTTTTCTTTCCAACTTCAGCCTGAAATGGGAAAATGACTAATTAAATCAAATAAATAGTGATGAAAAATGATTAAAAAATGAATATCAACCAGTTAGCGGAGGAATTGATAAATATCACACAAAGCATATGTTGTTATAGTGCAAGTGTGTCCCAGCTAGAGGTTCAATGCTGCCTGTGCAGGTTGATAATTCGGCCAAATTTTAATTAATTTCAAGTCTCCAAGGAAGACAAATGATTGAAAAGGGTCATAATTTTGTCCGCTCTTTCTCTCTCCAGACGTCTCCTTGAGATCTTGAGAGTATGCAGGAGACAATGACGGATATTAGTCTAGAAAAGGAATATGATGTCATATATTTCTGCACATGCAAAAAAGTATAAATATTATGCCCACCAAGGCCTAAAAAATTTCTCCTGACTACAGCCCCAGTGCACTCCCGCAGCAAGCTGTAGAGCAGCGCATTACCCCTCATTCCAATCCTCACCTCCTTTCCATCCAAATCAAAATGCCTTGATTTTGAAGCCCTAAAACCCTCAAGCTCAACTCTAAATTCCAAATTTTGACGTGAAAATCCCAACCCTTGAAATGATATTAATTGTGAATAAAATATTAGGAGCATATGTTTGATACTCTAAAATGTTATAATTCGTATATTTAAAATATGGATAGCATGATGTGTGATATATTTAATTAATGAACAATATAATGACTCGTGATATATTTAATTGCTGAGCTTTAAATTTAAAAAAATCACAAATCCCTGTAAGGTTTTTCTGATGTGAGTCGTAACTCAGTTTTTACATGCAAGAAAAGAAGCATTTGATACTCTTATATTTTCCATTGGTAAATTAAATTAAGTTGTATCATATAATCCACATTTTTATCAAAACGCTGGTCATATTTTATTTCATTATACTCTAACATTACACAAGCCCCAGGGCAGCTACAACTGAAAACTCAGTTCGATGCTTGACTATATCTATCAAGCAAATGTAGTGCATAGTAGAATCTCCATTCAATCTGAAATGAGAAGATGAGCATAAATCATGAAGCCATGAATACTACTGCTCAAAAGCAACAACAAAAATGAATATGACCGTATCATTGAGCAACTAAACAAAGCTTAGTATACCATTATTTACATAGTAGTTTAAAAAATATTATAATTTAACTACTATTCTCAAGCAACTAGTTACTAAAATACACCTAATTAAGAGAAGCTTACAGGATTACCTAGAACTAAAACATCTAAGAATAAAAGCTTTAGATGTAACAGAAAGGTACTGAACATCAAGCAAATCCCAATAAGCTTTCTGCATCACCATCCTCAGTTTTCATTGTGCGCGTTCCAGAAAATCTGGTAACAGCAACAAGGGCCCTCATCTTCTCCTTCTTAAGAAAAAATTTATCTCTCTCAATTAGATGCCTGTCGTCCAGAAAATTTATCTTTCTCAGCGATAAGCTTCCCTGAGAAAAGTTGAATCCCTGTCGTACTTCAGCGAGACATAGAACATATTTAGATGCCTGACTCGCATTCCTCTCAGTTGTTGGGAGAATAACTCATTTCTGTATGTAACTGTTATATATGATTTGTAGCAATTATCAATCCTTAATGCCTGCCTTTAAATATTCATAGCTGAACGGTTTTTGTGAAACTTTTGAACTCTTTCATTGACTGGTTCTGAATTTAGATAAGTCAACAGGTATCTTCCCTAACAGAAAATCTTGGGATACATATTTAGCTCGATTTGTTCACAAATCGCTTAGAGGATACAACTATCATCTGACTGACAACTTCCGGTGGCGAAAAAGCATAAAAGGTTGTATAGGATGTATGAGTACAGTAATTAAAATATGCCTGATAAACATGGTAGTTTGTAGTGTACTGTTGTACGGTGTCTGTCCTCTATGACACTTAGAATTTGGTACAAACTGGGAAAGACCCACTGTAAGTCTCTTTGTCCAGCCATCAGCATCAATGAAAAGTTTGTAACTTTCGGGAAGTAGACATTACGATTATTATAGATTATAAAAAATGGTTCCATTTTCATAGAAAGTTCTTGTGGGAACTTACAGTTGATAGAGATTTCACATTATAAAGAATTTCTATGCCCTGGAAACAGTTTGTTTCCTGGCTCAACCAAAGATGTATTATTGTAGGATCCGCAATTCTCCTCACTAGGCTGAGAAAGCAAAGGGAATCAACGTAGGATAAGTCCAAAAATCCCTTTCACGGATGAAAT